AAAGTAATTTTGGTCTCAAAATGAATGAAGCAGCTAGTAGCTAAGAATTGCTAGTTTTATGGATTCCTACTCACTGGATCAGTAACAGGGAAAAAAAAAAACAAAAACAAAAGGCCTCAATTGGCCTCAATGACAAGCTGTAGCTGGGCTAGAAGGTTGGTTTTTAAGCTGAAGTGTCAGTATGATTGTGTTATTTTATGAAAAATGTAGGCAGGAGTAATTTTCCACTTCAACCATTAAGTCGGGAGAACAGTTTTATAAATATCACATACTTTTTATCCAGTAATTGTTTTGGGAAATTATTTAGAACAAATTGGCTTAACTGTGGGTATGGAAAAGTGTATTAGTTTCTAGAACTTTTCTTTGCAACCATGTTAAATATTTTGGTGATTTCTGCTTTGACACTTTAATAAGCAGATGCTGGAAAAGAGAGAAAAAATAACTGGTAGCATAATTTCTAATCTTAAGATACAACATTATGTCACTGTGAAAGTAAACTCAAGAAAAATGAATTTGTTTGAAAATAAATGTTTCACAGAAGAAAAATTGTGCTGTCACTGCAGTGATGCTAAAGAAAGCTATTCTGACAGTTATGTTATTGTACTTCTGATTATTATAATGTTAGTCTTTTTCTTTTCTCTTTAAAGGTCATCCGTGAGAATTGCAGAAATGGCTAAACTGACCCAGCTAATTGACAATGAAGTCTTTCGGGCTTATGCTACCTATGCAACTATTGTTCTTCTGAAAATGATGCTAATGAGTTTTATAACAGCATACTTCAGGATCAGCAGAAAGGTAACAAAAAAAAAAAAAAAGCCGTGAATACTGCCTGGTAGAATAGAGTGAAATTTCTGTTAAAATTCAGAGATGTATTAAAAAAGCTTCTTTCTTTTTCAGCTTTCAAATACTGATACTTTTTCCATGTTGGATTTTGGGTTTTGTTTTCTCCCTCCCCTTATGGTGGAGCCCTTAGGATTTGGCCTATTGGTGCTGTGTCAGCCTCAAAGAGACTTTTTATTACAGTTGGTTTTGAGTTACTCTGTCCTTCTAAAGCAATTTTGTCATTTTTAAGGAAGAATTTTTCCTAACTGTAATTTTTGCTGGGTCATTTGGAGTGTTGATGTTGAAGGTACCTAATGTATAAAGCAAATAAAGTGTAATGTGGAGCCATGTAAAGTGAATAAACAGCTCTTAGAGTTGGGAGAGGGAAAATGGCTTTTTATGCATCTGTCAGCTTGTCATCCGGTAATTTTAAAGCTCTTTACATTCCCTAATTGTTTTAACCTTTCTATTTCAGGTAGGTCATTTAAAAAAGAAAAGGAGAGAATGAGAAGTGGGCTAAATGTTTACATGAACTGAGGTGGAGGCTAGACAACTATATGAGATGCACTGAGATTTACGAAATAACACAGAAACTGCCTCTAGCTTCCCATGAGAGGGCTCATGCATTTGCCCTCTTTCCCGTCGTCTTTAGGCATCTGCTAGTGGCCGTTTTTGGAAACAAGGTCCTATGAGACTGTGTGTGCTGCAAGGACTTTGCTGGAGTCCAATTGCAGAGATGTCTTCTCAGAGTGTAAGAGAACCCCTCAGAATGAACCTACTGTTTGTGATGTTTGTCAGTGCTTCTTATTGTAAGGCATTTGGGCCACTGCTGATTTCAGATAGCTCTCTAAGGTGTTGGACACAATTGAAAATTGAGCCCTATATAGCCTAGCATAGCCTATATAGAAGTCAAGAATATTTCATAGAATGTTTAAGGTTGGAAGGAACCTCGAGCGGTCATCTAGTCCAATCCCCTTGCACACGCAGGGACACCTAGAGCACATGGCAGAGGACAGCATCCAAGCAGGTTTTGAAGATCTCCAGAGAAGGAGACTCCACAGCCTCTCTTGGCAGCCTGTTCCAGTGCTCTGTCACCCTCACTGTTAAGAAATTTTTCCTTACGTTCCTGTGGAACTTTTCATGCTTCAGTTTCTGGCCGTTTCCTCTAGTTCTGTTGGTGGCCACCACTGAAAAGAGACCAGCACCATCTTCCTCACTGCCTCCCTTGAGGTACTTATAGACACTGATCAGATCCCCTCTCAGCCTTCTCTTCTCCAGGCTGAACAGGCCCAGCTCCCTCAGCCTCTCCTCATAGGGCAGATGTTCCAGGCCCCTGATCATCCTTGTGGCCCTGCGCTGGACTCTCTCCAGCAGCTTCACATCCCTCTGTCCTGTGGAGCCCAGAACTGGACACAATACTCCAGATGCGGCCTCACCAGGGCTGAGTAGAGGGGCAGGATCACCTCCCTCGACCTGCTAGAGATGCTCTTCTTAA